GGATTACTTTTTGGGGGAAGTAATCAGTAATTAGTTACTGATTACTTTTTTCAAGTAACTTGACCAACACTGCTCGCCAGTGAACCGAAGTTAGCGCAAAGAGTGTAAAACAAAGAAAATCAACTGTCTGCCAACCTGTGTCTAGTCAAGTGGCTTCATTGTCATTCCAACCATGTGCAGTGTTACAGTACATGGTGCTACATATAACAGATCATCGACACAGCATAAAGTGCAATGTGCAAAAATTGCAAAAACAAAAACAAAGACAGTGCAAAAGAAAAGATGTGCAAAAAAGAACTTGGAGTATAACGGTGTGCATGTGTGTTTGTGTGGAGACTTTAGAAAGTTATTGTTCCTGACACTGAAACACACCTTAGAAGGCAGCTAATTGGAAGAACTATCCATCTGTTACGATCTATTACAGCCAATTAGATTAATGAACCACGGAGAGCATCCAGCAGGAAAAGCAAAGTTGCAGTCGAGCACTGTGGCAGCGAGCCATCTGTTGATTCTTCAGATATTTACAACCTTACTGAGTAGTAAACTCGTAGTTTCAAAGCCGGGCAAGCTTTAAAAAGTCATCTTGTGAATCTCACAAGACTCCAGTTGCCTTGCAAGGTGAGGCCATACCCAAGCAAGTATTTGCTCTTTGTTTGTCCCAGACGTACGTGTGACATTTATCTTCTTATCAATGGAAAAGAGTAACAAGGGGGAGAACAAAGGATTTAAGTAGCACATATAAAATATCACGACAGTCTAGATGTGGCAAAAGAGTCTTTCTTTCTAAAGCTGCAACAAAGCCATGCCCTCAGAGCCTCGCCATTCCAGCTGTGATTTACTGTTTTGGAATTTCTCGTCCTGGTTTCAGGTGAGAGTCGCTCTTACACTGCCACAACTTTATCGCCATCTATGCACTGATCAAATGACAGGGCAGTCACGAAGCTGCGCCGGCTTTATCTTTGAGGCGAATCAAACAAGCCTTTGTTTCCTGCCGTCGCTCACCCGGATGCCTGTCTCGCTGCATGTCAGTCTGCTTCTATAGCCTACGTATCAGTTCACCGAGTTGTCTGTCTTCACCTGCGTCTGTCACACCTGCTCTCCTGTCTTTCCATCCCTCTGCCCATCTTCACGCTTGACCGAGTCTGCCCACCTGCCCTTATCTCCTCGTCTGTCTCCGTGCAACCTGACCTGACCGTTGTCTCTGGTCTTTTTCAGAGCGTGACTGGTTGGCTGACCAACCTTTGGGCCGATTAGAGTTACCTACCGCAGCGTAGCCAGGACAGACAAATGCACGCATGCGCACACTTACACAAGGATGCACAGGGAGCTCGTTTAACCTACCGCCGGCCCTTATCCCTGGCTCGACGCATCAGCGCCGCAGCATGTGAGCGTCTAAGAACACGAGCTAATCTGAGCTACTACGTATGTGCAAAATAATTCGCCTCTTCGGGCAAGACGGGAGTTTTTCGCTTATTTTAGGAGCTTACATCAAGGAGGAATCTGGGAATATGACAACATACCAACATGTGTTTATATATATATTTAAGTGTGCTCTCTCACACACAAAAGAGCTATAATTACACTATTACGCCATACAAGGGAAAGTAGTGGAAAACCCAGAGACGCAGCATAAAGAGAGGTGTAAATAGAAAACTGGTGACTCAAATTCTAGTGGCTACACACTAGCCACACACACACACACACTGAGAAAGAGCCAAAAACACAAAGTTCACCCACATGAAGCCAGAGGAAGCAATGTGTGTGTTTGTGTCTGAGTGTGGTGACTGAGGAGGATGAGTAAAGCTCGGTTTGTCTTTACTGATGTCGTAGTTGCTGGAACTGTTATCTAAAGGCTTTTTGCTTTTTTCTAGAGGGAATGAATGCTCTAACATACTCCTACCCATCAATCAATCCGTGTGCTCTCTAAGCTGTCCTATAATAGTTTCGAGGAGTGATGCAACTCTCCAGGATGTGGCTGAGAGGAAATTTGTTTCCTTGTTTCCTCAGAATTTTGATGTGCTTTTTATTTTGGTTTAAACACACAGACTCTTTTTAAAACCTCGAAGGCTCTGCGTCCTTTTCCTCTCCGATTTCTTCTAATCACAGTCTGTATATAAAAGATGGATGTCGTTTGTGTCGTCTGGGTTTTTTGGAGCCAGAGATGACCGCATTTAGACGAATGTATAACGTGCTAAATTAGAAGTTGATGCTAGCAAGCTCGGTTAGCAAGGTGGACGTGGAGATAACAGCCAGTCGGTGTTGGTGTATAAATAAATAAAGAATCAATCAATAAAATCAGTGCATT